CATTTTGCTCCATGATAATGCCCCATCACACTCAGCAAAACGGGTCAGGGAAACGATCGAGGCGTTCAGTTGGGAAATACTAACGCATGCGGCTTATTCTCCAGACTTTGCTCCGTCCGATTATCATCTATTCGCATCAATGGGACACGCTCTCGCTGAACAACGCTTCAATTCGTATGAAAATGTACAAAAATGGCTCTGTCAGAATGGTACATCTATGCGTGCTTGTGCTCAGCCGGTGACTAGCACTGGAGTGACAATATTTGTCGCTAGATGGAAGTCTAGCAAATCCCTTTTTTGATTCTCTCCCCTTTAGTCTACTGCTTGGTCGCATGCACACTGGTTCATGTTTAACCCACCTCTTTATTTCTGATTCTTATAATTGTATACGCGCAGTGTCAACGAATAAAAGTATTTCTTTCGTTCGTGTAACTGGAGTGTAGTACATCCTCAACCCGCCGCATCCCAACAGGCTCGATAGCTGGTTCGCTTCAAAAGAAGAAATGTTTTTTTGGCGTGGCATTCATAAACTGCCGGAGAGATGGGAAAAATGTATAAATAGAAATGGACATTATTTTGAATAAAATATTTTTTATCATTTTCAAACAACAGACATGTAATTTTTACAAAAAAATTCCGGTTTCATACTTCTATACCTGGTAAATTCTGTTTAAAATGAGGTGAAAAGTGAATACTATATGAAATATTTCATATTTTATTCTAAAGAAGATTAGAATAAAAAGTAAAATGTTTCACAAAGTATTCACTTTTCGATGATCTCACCCTAGTATTTTTATACGCAGAATAAACAAAGAAATCGATTTATGCTAAAAAAAGCTATATAATCCATAAAAAAGTGAAGTTGACTTTGTAATAGCCTTGAATTATTAAGAATGCAACGTTAAGGTCAGCAAAATATGTCCCCTTCCAAACGCTATAACTTTTGTCTGAAACATTTCTATTTTGTTTTATTTTTGTCACATTAAGGTGTTTCAATTTAAATGCCATATTCTGTATATGTCAAAATCAATGTCATTGGAGAAGTATATACTGATCAGATGAATTTTACACTAATTATAAATCTCTCTCTAACGTAGCTTGAGATAAATCAGTTATTTGTATTCTGCCTTTTTTATAAAGGTAACATATATTTATTGTAAAAACAGTACGCGCTTTACTAATTAGTTAGTTTATTTAAACTCGTAACAATTAAGATTGTTGAGCTAATATCATATCAGCATCAATAATCATAATTAATTTATTATATTTCTCTAAAGTATCTAGTAAAGTATATAATTAAACATATAGTTATTAAGATATTGCAATGATATTAAATGAAATATTTATATTCTTATAATTACACACAAAATTATTTCCAGTAGAACTTGCTGTTAACTGCACGTTACCTTAGCGTTTTTATGAAATAAAACGCGCATTATTTTAGTATTGTCGTAATTTCTGTTCGTTAAGATTATACTACCTGATAAAATTAATTATATTTTTTTAAAGTTATAGTGTTGTCACTACCTGTTAATTATTACACGCGTTCACGACATATTCCATAAGAGTCCAACTTATGGCCTTCGGGACACGGCTTTACAGTTGTTATTCTTCTAGGCAGGTTCACAACACTGTTTTGCACGGGTTTTGGGACCCAATTAGGATCCTCTGTCCATGGATCGTAATTTTGGCAAGAATTCAGTGGCACAAAATTCAATATCATTATCATTAGCAAAATACCGGCGAAAAATTTCATCTTGCAACAATACAAGGGAGCAACACGGATATTGCTTATAAATTGAATCAAAATGCGATTGATCTTCCTATCTTCAATCTTGTACCTCCTTTTTTGGATTCTTCCTTCTTAATTGTTTTGTTTAACGTGATATTTGCGAACTTTACGTATCACTTATTCCACTTTTGCTCATTACATTCGTTGTAATATTTGTCGCATACAGCGAGCGTTTAGTTTATTTCCTGCGTGTTTTGTATTTATAACATCAGATTTCCCGATGACGCAATCTACTGCATTGTGAAGAAAAAATCCAAGATGCAGATTAATGCAACGTTACTCACCAAGATCGAAGGTTACATACATAAATAATATCAGTGACGTGAATAGGAAAGCATAAATAGGAAAACAATTTACACAAAAAGTCAAAACGGTCAAAAGTTTAAATAAACTACTTTCATTGCAGATCCAAGTGTATCATTTTTAAATGCATAAACGTTTAAAAATGACACATGTGACTGAAGCTACTTTTACATGTTTCGTGCTGTTTTAGATTACGTCATTTAAAAAATTTAATCGTATTAAATTATAAGTTAACGTATCTAATCTTGTCAAGTTCCGTAATTTAAAATAGCAAGAAATGTGTAAGAAAAATTTAAAAGCTAAATAATACACTTTGATTTGTAGTGTTCTCACACGGAAAAAGATTATAACTAAGAGAAGCATTTTTGTATTAAGTTATTATATAGCATTAGTGATAACAATTTTACATTATTGTAACTTTAAAGATAAGTATTTAAACTTTCGTTTAAGACAAGAAACATTATTATTTCTATCATTTATATATATTTATAATTGGAATATGACTTAACGGGCAATTTATTATATACGCGCATAATTTGTAATATAAATACATATATATCGTATCAGAATTAATAACATAAATGTATTAAAAATTCGTTGCTATGCCGAATATTTTTGTCATTTTGCAGTTGTCGACGATATTTTGGAGTTCCATCTCGCTTCTAGTTTTCAATCAAAATTACCGAAATGTTGATATCTTCAAGCCTGTAAACAGACATAAAATACATATGTATTTCCGACAGAAATCCGTCGCAAGTTTATATGTAATTTTTTGAGAGGCATTATGTACAGAGCTCGTCAAAACTGTTTAGCCAGTATAAATTCTGTTTAAAATAAGGTTAGATCTAATTATGGTAAAACTCCTATTTAGAGGAAGCTTCTCTAATAATCTTGACCTTGACATATATAAGTAGAGGTCATCCTCTTGAGTAACGAACAAAAAATTTTACTCGTTTCCTGTTGTTTATTAAAAGATTATTAAAAAAAGAAGTGTGATGAGTGAAATGTTGTTTTTAACATCTTATGTAGACAATATAGTTTCATATTATATCGTTCGCTGAGCGTAAGTCATTTTTGTTTATCTTTTTGATGTGGATATGGAATGGCGAGGCTTTGTCCCTTAGTCCTGTGTTTGGGAGGCTGCGCTCTCCTGAATCCTTGATTATTTCCAAATAGGGGTCCTAAGAGCAAAGCTGCTGTATAGGGGCCTGAGGAGCGCATCCTCCTAGTCATGAGAGAGCCAAAGCCTCGCCATTCTACACCGCGTCAAATTATTCATCTGAAATCATTAACAAGAAATAAACAATTCTAAATTAAATTCAAAATTAATTACCTATTAATTTTCTCTTATAGTTAATAATGTTTATAACCTCAAAACAAGGAGTGAGCGATCCTTAATTTTGGACTGAGAATACTTATTGACCTTCCACCTCCAACATAATTCAACGTCATTGAAATGGATGAAAGCATACTTTTGTTAATAAGGTATCGTAAATAATCATCCAAACTTCTTATCTTAATAACTTTTTAACAAACAAAGAGTGTTGACGAAAACTCTTTGCAGGTTACTCAAAACGATGTCCTCGATAACATATCTCTAAATTATTGAGATCAGCAGATGGCCCTATAACTATATAACTATTTAAATTTCTTTAATAGGAGGAAGTGCAGAGGGAGGCACTTCCGTTATACACTGGATATTTTGCATAACATGCATTTGTCTTATGATATATGTATATCGTATGTTTGCTTCTCAAATGTACACGTTGGATGTATGGTGCCGGAAAACGATGGTCTGTTTACGAAACTTTTTTCGATAACAACTTTAACAAACAAAGAGCGACGGATAAAACCATTTGATTGTTGCTCAGGAAAATTATCTCCATTTTACAGGGTGGACCATTTAAATTGAACCACCTTAATATAACAAAAATAAAACAAAATAAAAACAAATGCTTCAGACAATAGTTGTAAGATTCGGAAGAGAATATGTTTTGGTGATCTTAACTTCGTTATATTACCAATAATTCATAGTTTAAGGTCAAATTAACCTTTTTATGATGAAATTATGTAATTTTTTTAGTACAAATCGCGCATTATTTTAATGTCGACGCTTGTAACTTATTTTCGTTAAGATTATACTATCTGATAAAATTAATTATATTCTTTTTAAGTTATAGTTGTTATTACCTGTCAATTATTTAATGCGTTCACGACATATTCCCTGAGAATTCAACTTGTGACTTTCGGGACACGAGTTTCCAGTTGTTCTTTTAGTCAGATTCATAATAGGGCGTTGCACGAACAGAAAAGATATGACTGTTCTCGTCGAGGATCAGGAAGAGACTAATTGCTTCGAAGATGCGAATTCACTCTTTCAAAGTCGCAATGGACAGCGGTTTTTGGTGGAAACACCAACCGTTATGGTGTTCTACACTATTTCCGGAGTCCGAAGACTGAAAGACGGATTATGTATATCCGTTCTTGTGGAGCGGGAAGTTTTTTTAGATTTATCGAAATTATTATTATTATTACATATAAAATATAAAATATAAAATATTATAACATATACAATAAAAAACATAAACCGAAAAATAAATAATAGCCGCATAACGTAAAAATCGCACAGTGGGTGATGCAATAAGTTCGAAAGTCGTAGAGTTATCAAATAGATTTCTAAATTCGAAATATGTCGTTGCGCAGATATGACATATGGCAAAAAAACTGCGTAAAGATACTTACCGGTCTGATAGTTGTCCGGCAGGCATGTACAGAATAGCATCCTTGGGCCGACATCGTCGCGTCGTCATCGAGTAGAGAATGTCGGTTGTTGTAGTCCTGCCGACGCCGGCTTGTGACTCGGCAACGAACAAGAATTGATAATTCTTACCTGAGCCGATTCCGCGTCACAGCTGAGAGAATGAATAATAATCGGTTTGCCATGATATCGCCAGTTGTCGGCCTGTGAGTCAATATCGGGTGAAAATTGGCAAATCGTACCTGAAATATTATAAGTTAGCACTGTCGTTGGGCACTTAGTTTTAAACGTTTTGATTATGATATTTGATTATCATATTTATCGTGTAAAATTACTCTAAATGTTGAATTGCTAATGTTTTCATTATGTATACAGAAAATATATGACAATATATATTTATATCCGGGAAACCACCACTATAGTTTATCACATATTTTTATTAAATTGTAAAACAATTATATTGTTTATGTAAACATAGAGAAATTAGCAGAAATGCAGTTACTGAATATCAGCGAATGAATACGCGACGAAAAAGGTTGGAAAAGCTCATATATAGACAGCTTTCAAAAAATATGTTTTCGATTCCGTCTCGTAAGAGTCGCTATTATTTCTATTATTTATATGCATACCTAAATTCGAATATGATTCAACATGTAATTTATTATTATATAAACGTATAAGTCGTAATATGATTTAAATGCATATTTATTGTGATCAGAATTAACATAAATTTATTAAAATTTCATGCGAAAATATTTTTATCATTTTGCGATTGCCGTTACGACAATACCTTAGAATTCCATCTTGCATCTTTTTTTCAGCTGACATTGCTGAAATGTCTTTGAACCTGTAAACAGATATAAAATACACATTTATTTCCGACAGAAATTTATTACAAGCCCTAAATGTAATTTTTTGAAAGGTATTATTTACAAAGTTCACAAAAAATTGTTAGCAAGCATAAATTCCATGTAAGATAAGGTTATATTTAATTACAAATATTTCTCTCTCTCTCTCTCTCTTTCTCTCTCCCTCTCCCTCTCTCTCTCTCTCTAACTTGGCTTGAAATAAATCAGCATTATCAGATAATTTACTTAAACACGTGATAATTAAGGCTGTTGAGCCAAAATATCACAGCAATCAATAATAAAAATTTATTTCATTATATTTCATTATACTTGTCCAAGTATGTGCATGACAATATATAGTCAAATATATAGTTGTTAAAATATTGCAATGATATTAAATAAAATATTTTCACTTTTAGAATTACAACAAAATTATTTCCTGTAGAACTTGTTGATAAACTGCGCGTTGACTTGGCGTTCTTATGAAATACAAACGCGTATTACATAGATGTCGTCGCTTGTAATTTCTGATCTTTAAGATTATATTATCTGATAAAATTAATTATATTCTTTTAAACTTATAGTTATTATTACCTATCAGTTATCTAACGCGTTCACGACATATTCCATAACGATCCGTTTTGAAACCCGGTGCACATGATCTTATAGGCATATCCACATATTCGCGTGGCACGGATACTTCGCTGTCGTACATCTGTGACATTCTATTTTGACAAGAATTCAGTGATATCAAATTGAGTATCATTAGCATTAGCAGAAACACCGGCGAAAAATTTCATCTTGCAATAACACGATAGAGCAACACGGATATTGCTATAAATTGAATCAAATTACAATCGACCCTCCTGTGTTCAATTTTTTTTCTCTTATTTGGATTCTTTCTTCTTAATTATTTGGATTAACTCAACATTTGCGAACCTCACGTATCACTTGTTCCACTTTTGCTCGTTACATTATTTATACTATCTGCCATATGCAGCGAGCATTTAATTTATTTTCTACTCCGAGTCTTTAATTTCTTTCCTACTGCGCGTATTGAATTTATGATATCAGACTTCCTGATAATGTAATCTATTGTATTGTGAAGCATATATCAAAGGTGTGGATTAGAACGTTACTACCAGTGATATAAATAGAATAGCCTACATTTGATGTAAACGACTAAAATTTGAATGAATTACCTTCACTGCAAATCCATATATAATTTTTTTTAACGCATGAACGTCTAAAATGACACATTTGGCCGAAGCTCTTTTTATATGTTTCTTGCCGTTTTAGATTATGTTATTTAAAACGTTTAGTCGTGTTAAATTATAAGTTCATGTATCTAATCGTGTTAAATGATGTAATTTAAAACGGCAAGAAATGTGTAAGAAAAATCTCAACTAAACTTATATATATTCAATTTGCAGTGTTCTCATACAGAAAAGATAACATAAATATTTGGAAGTACTACTCCACTGAGAACTACTTTTTTTTATAGTAATTAACAAAATAGGCTATAAAAAGTTATTTGTATAAGTTTAGGGATATTAAATTAATATTTGATATAATTATTTATATTCTTTTAAGTTATAATGTTGTTATTATCTGTCGACTATCACACGCATTCACGACATATTCCCCGAAAATCCAATTTGTAACCTTTGAAACACGGTTTTGGAGTTGTTACTTTTCTAGGCAACTTCGCAACTATATGTTACTTGCGTGTAAATCTGGTTAATATCCATAAACTGTCCTTTTGGCAAGAATTCACACCAAATTACGTTATTATCATTATCATCAATAAATTAAGAAAATGGCAAAAAATTTTATCTTGCAGCAACACAAGAGACACGGATATTGTTTATAATTCGAATCAAAATGCGATCGATCCTTCAGTCTTCAACTTCCTCTCCTTTTTTTTGGATTCTTTCTTCCCACTTATTTTGATTAAAGCGAAACTGTATGGGACCGTCCGGACGGTTCGGAGGAATCAAAAAAGGAATCAATAAAATTAAAAGTGGCCTGTTGAAATAAAATTAGCGCTTTGAATTGAACCATTTTGAATTGAAAACGCACGATGGAAATTCCGATGATCGCACTCGAGATGGTAATTTATTTTCGACAATACGAGATCAAAGGTATGCAAAGGGTCGCTACACTGTGTTTAATTACAAGTATGATAATACTACAAAATTGTGACTTGCTTTCAATGGCTACTAATCCCACGCTATAAAATTTGAAAATTTGCGTCGCCTCGAAGGGAGATATGGACAGCACTATGATGGCGAACGGGCCGCATCGCCTCTTCGGACAGGCGGCTGTAGTAATCTCGTGCCTTTTGACATAAAAAAGCCACATTTAACAGAACGACCACTAGTAGATTTTGACATAAATTCTTACACAGTTAATTTCGAATTACGAAAGAATGAATGAGCGCGATCTTCACTTGTAGCGGGGCCAGTTTTCGGAGAAAATAGGAAAACGAGAGCGAGTAAAACGCGCCGAAAACCAGAAGAAAGGAAATAATCAGAGGACTTAGAAAACACCTGAGAAGTGCAACTGCTTTATACGCAAGCCTGGAGGAGAACCGATTTGAGACGACACTTGGGATGGGAGCAAGAAAGAACAAAGACTTTGCTATATTCGGAAAATTAACGAACAGAAAAGATATGACTGTTCTCGTCGAGGATCAAGAAGAGACTAAGTGCTTCGAAGATGCGAATTCACCCCTTCAAAGTCACAGTGGACAGCGGTTTTCGGTGGGGATATCAGCGGTTATGGTGTTCTATAGTATTCTCAGATTCTCAGAGTCCGATGAAGGACGGATTATGTTTATCCGTCCTTAAAGAGAGGAAAATTTTTAAATCTATCGAAATTATTATTATTACATATAAAATATTAAATATAATATATTATTACATACACAATAGAAAATATAAAATATAAAACATAAAATATAAACGGCATAACATAAAAATTGTACAGTCGATGATGCAATAAGTTCGAAAGTCGCGGAGTTATCAGATCGATTTCGAAATTCGTAATGTGTCGTTGCGCAGTTATGACATATAGCAAAAATCTGCGAAAAGATCCGATAGTGGTTCGGTAAACATGTACATATAGTATCCTTGGGTAGACATCGCGCCGTCATAGAGGAGAGAGTGTCGGTTGTGATGGTTCTGTCGGCGCCGGCTTGTGATTCGGCAACGAACAGGAGTTGACAATTCTTGCCTGAACCATACTTGAGAAAATATATGATAAATTATTGTAAGCTTTTTCGCTTACCATGATATTACCACTGTTGTCTCGTCAGTCGACGTCGGGTAAAAGTCGACAAATCGTACTTGGGATTTTATAAGTTAGCACTTCCGCTGAGCATTTAGTTTTAAACGCTTTAATTATAATATTTGATCTTATATTTATCGTATAAAATTACTCTAAAGTTGAATTTCTGATGTTATTTTCATTCTCTATACAGAAAATATATGACAATTAATAGGTTTAATGCTAGCACAATTTATATCCGGGAAACCACCACTATAGTTTATCACATATTTTCATTAATGTAATTATATAAAAAAATTATATTGTTCATGTGAACATTGAGAAATTGGCAGAAATGCAGTTAATGAATATCAGCGAATGAATACGCGGCGAAGAAGGTAGGGAAAGCTCACGTGTAGACAGCATTCAAAAAATATATTTTCGATTCTTTCTAGTAAGAGTTACTATTATTTTTATCATTTATATGTATACGTAAACTCGAATATGATTCAACATGTAATTTATTATTATATAAACGTATAAGTCGTAATATGGTTTAAATGCATATTTATTGCGATCAGAATTAATAACATAAATTTATTAAAATTTCAGGCAAGAATATTTTTATCATTTTGCGGTTGCCGCTCATCGATATTTTGGAATTCCATATCGCATCCCTTTTTCAGTTGTCATAGCTGTCCATGTCTCCGAACCTGAAAACAAACATAAAATACACGTGTATTTCCGACAGAAATCTATTACAAGACGAAATGTAATTTTTTGAGAGACATTATTTACAAAGTTCGCAAAAAATTGTTAGCAAGCATAAATTCTGTGTAAAACAAGGTTATATTTAATTACAAATCCCTCTCTCTCTCTCTCTCCCTCTCTCCCACTCTAACGTGGCTTGAGATAAATCAGCAATATCAGATAATTTATTTAAACTCGTGACAATTAAGTCTGTTGAGCCAATATATCACATCAGTATCAACAATAAAAATTTATTTCATTATATTTCATTATAATTTCATTATATTTGTCCAAGTATGTGTAAGACAATATATAATGAAATATATAGTTTTAAAATACTGCAATGATATTAAGGAAAATATTTACACTCTTATAATTACAAAAAAATTATTTTCTGTAGAACTTGTTGATAAACTGCGTGTTGCCTTAGCGTTCTTATAAAATACAAACGCGCATTATTTAGATGTCGTCGCTTATAATTTCTGTTCTTTAAGATTATATTATCAGATAAAATTCATTATATCTTTTTAAAATTACAGTTACTGTACCTTTCAAGAACCGTCTTTTCACGACAATCTCCGCTACTACTATCCACTATCTGCCCTTCGGGACACCGTGGAGGCACTCGAATAATATAGCGTCGCATGGGTTCTACTTCCATTCTGTTGCATATACATGGAACTCTACTTTCACCAGAATTCAGTGACACCAAATTTAATATCATTATCATTAGCAGAACACCGGCAAAGAATTTCATCTTGCACCAACACGGATATTGTTTATAAATTGAATCAAATAGCGATCGATCTTTCCGACTGCAACCTTTCGTCTCTTATTTGAATCCTTTTTTCTCGATTATTGTGACTAACTCGAACTTCACGTATCGCTTTCTCCACTTTTGCACGTTGCATTATTTATACAATCTGTCATATGCAGCGAGCGTTTAATTTCGTTCCTACCGTGCGAATTTATGCTGTCATATTTCCTGATAATGTAATCTATTGCATTGTGAAGCAAATAGCCAAAATGCAGATTAGAACGTGACGCTATTACGATTGAAGGTCATACGCATAATTAAGAGCAATGGCGCAAAAAGAACAGCGTATATTTATCTCGTGACTAATATAGATTAGATAGAAAATAAAACTTAAATTATTTGGTAAAATACCTCATGCTTCCTCTTTAAAACAAATACAGATATCTTTTTATAACTTGTTTTATTGATTACTACCAAAACAAACACGGTTTCCGGCGGAATAGTACTTCCAAACTTTCCCCAGATATTATAATCAAGAAAGCCATTTTTGTATTAAGTTTTTACGTAGTATTAGGGATAATAATTTTACATTATATTGTTACTACTTTTTTGTTGGAAGACAAGACAAGATGTAGTTGGCGCCGAAAATGACTATAATTTTTAATAAGATTTTATTCAATATCGTTAACTGTAATCCTGCCAAAGTCGAACAGTGAGTCAGCATCGGGTAAGATTTGATATTATAAAACTTGCCTGGAGTTATATTCTGTAAATGCTTGTATATGCCTCGACTAAAGAATGTGTCATTGCGTAAGTATAACGTATAACCAAAAAAGCTGCACAACGACACTTACTGATCCGACAGTTATCGGTAGAGAATGAAATAACATCTTTGGGCCGACGACGCATCGTCAGCAAATAATGAGAGTTGGTTTGCCATGATATCACCATTATAGCTGATTATATGACAAGCTGTGTTTAATGCATTTACGTGATGCATCGAGCTAGGTAAGCTACGTTTACTATATTTTCTGAATATATTTGTTAATTTATTTTATGTTCGCGCTTATTAAATTATTAAACACACATAATTGATTTGGCTTCCGGGTTTGCGCAGCGTCTATAGATTTGTTTAGCCAAAAGAAGCATTTGCGGCATGTTATGCTTCATTGCTTTAAAAAAGATAATAATGCAAAGGACACTGCAGACGAGATTTGCACCGTTTACAGGAATGGTACTACGACTATTAAGACCGTCCGCAATTGGTTTAAGAGATTTAGAGCTGCCAATTTTGACTTGAAAGATGAAGACCGCAGCGGTCGCCCAGCAACGATGGATACGGAACTTTTCAAGGCTATGCTCGCTGAAAATCCTCGATATTGTGTGCGCGAGTTAGTGGATGCCACTAACATTCCCAGGACAACGATACA